ATATATAGGGAGAGAGAGGTTGGCCGCCAATCCAAAATGGACGTCCCTTTTAATCGCTTTCTGTGTCTTCAAACGAACAAAAGAAAACACTTAGGTTCCTCACTTGAAGATGCAGGAAACGGCCCAACAAGGACACCCGTTCCATCGCCCATATATGGAGAGAGAGAGAGAGGGAGAAAGGAAAAAATCATGAGCATCAGCTGGGTTTGCTTACATGTTCATTGCTATTCCTGTTGTTTTTTTCTAACGGAAATGAACAAGAGAAGAGAAAATTAAGAACCAGAGGAAAGATGAAAACGAGCACCATCTTCTCTTTGCCTGATTTTTGCATTTCGCCTGTCCTCATTTCTCTTCCATTCTTTTCATTGCTCTTCCATTTAGAGTTGCATTCCTTTTGATCTCTCCTCTTTCCTTTCTCTCTCTCTCTCCCTTCTCTTCTCTTGTTCTCCTTTAAATCTCAAAAAAAAACAAAAGGAAGCTTCTTTTCCTTGTTGAATGAAGAATGAAAAAAGAAGAAAAGAGATAGGGAAAGAAATTGAAGAGCTCCATTGCCTATTGGTTCATTCCATTTCCTCTCTTTCTATGTGTTGTTTTCCTTGTCGTTTCAGAAGGCAAGCAAAATAAGGGCAAAGGGGCTTCCTGAAGAAGAGAGAGGGCACCTATCTGCGAAGAGGTCTTGTCCTTTTTAATAATAGAGGGAAAAGGGAGAGACAAGGAAGGGAGAGATGATAGATAAAGAAGAGTGCCATCTTCTTTGCGCCTTGTTGTGTTCCTCCGTCTCCTTGTTTCTTGTCTCCTCTCTTCTGTTCAGTACCCTTCCAGAAAATTAAAATGGCCTCCTTTTTGTCTCTCCTCTCTCACTTCCCGTTCCCTTCTCTCCTTCTGTTTCCGTTTAACTGATAAAACACAAGAAAAGAACTTGAATGATAAAGCCTAGGAAGGTAAAGGAGATAAGGGGGACAGGATAGATAAAGAAGAGTGCCATCTTCTCAGCGCCTCGTTTTGTCTCTCCCTCTTCTCTATTCATCTCTCTTCTATTCTTTTCTTTGCTATTCCACTGAAATTGGATTCCTGTTATCTCTCCCCTCTCCTTCTCTCTCCCTCCTCTTCTCCTGTTCCCCTCTAAATGACAAAAACACAAGAAAGGAAGAACAAGTGGGGAATGGAAGCCCTTTTCCTGTCTTCTCCTGTTGCAATACAGAAGGAAAAGAGCATAGGAGATAAGGAAGGGAATTGAAGAGCTCCTCTCGCTACTTTGTCATGCCCTTTCCTTTCTATCTACCACACCAAAACACGACTCTCAGCTTCCAAATAGACCCTATTTAAGCCACCCACCTCCCCCCCCCCAAAACCCTAAACCTTAAACCCTAAACCCTGAACCCTAAACCTAAACCCTAAACCCTCAGGAGCTTGTTGAGAGGTTCAGGCCTCAAAGCGCTGTGAGGTACATCAGGCCGGGCGAGAGCCTGCCAGAGACTGATCCGCTTTATCCGCCCCAGCCCGAGCTTCGCCGTAGGCCTTGAGCCTAAGGCCCCAGGTCATCAGGACTCCAGCTTGAGGGCTAAACCATAAACCCTAAACCCTAAACCCTAAACCCTAAACCCTAAACCCTAAACCCTAAACCCTAAACCGTGGTTAGCCATATCCTTGCCTTGCCCGTTTTGGGTAATCATACCACCCGTCACCCCAGTAGAAGATTATGCCCATACTCCCCCCTGCATCTCACCAACTATATCACTACTACTTCCCAGTTTCCCAGAGTAAGCGATACCTCATCCAGATAAGGGGAATCCCCCAAACATCACCACGAAATCCCCATTACCAAAACCAGCATAGGACTGTCCGATGACCTCCATCAATATTTCCCAAGCTGGTAGTATCACCCCGATGTGGCAATGGTTTTCGCACAGATTTTATCTGAGTGTTGGGTCGAGAGGCTGTAGTAAACCCTAAACCCTAGACCCTAAACCCTAAGCCCTAAACCCTAAACCCTACTGCATGCGTGTTCATGCTGGCATTGCGGTAGTCACGGCAACGGTTTCATTCACCCGATGAGGAGTCCAGGCATGTTCACAAACGTTCCACCAAGGGCTTTCGTTGAGCCTACCCCTAAACCCTAAACCCCAAAAACCTTACACCCTAAACCCCAAACCCCAAACCCCAAACCTACTTTATTGGCGTCCTTATTATGAGGGAATCCTACTATTCGGGGTTTATATTAGGGGTCCTCTATTTTCGCAAACAGAAACCCGTTTTTGGTCCATGCCATCTGGCCGCGTCATGAGAGCCGTTCTTCGTAAGGAGGCTAAAGCATTTGGAGAGCAACCCTCAATCCAAGAAGAATAAGGCCAACCTTGAGTATCTAATCCTTAGGGTTTGGGGTTTGGGGTTTGGGGTTTAGGGCGTCTCGCCGCGCAGCGGCAGTAAGTACCATGTGAGAATGCCAACACACCCAGGGTTGTGGGGGGCGGTATGTCGCGCGAAGGCATTTGCTTCCAATGCTGTCCAACAATTTTCATCGGTGCTGGTTGCTGTCTCCCCACCCGCCGTAAGCTTTCACAGGCCACCACTCAGACCACTGCCTTTTTAGGGTTGAGGGCTGTCGCCCCAATTCGTGTGTGCTTCGAACCTTCCATAGTAGGGGGTCAGGCACGAGGTTGGCCGGGGGGGAGGGCAGAGCGACCGGGGGGGGGGTGGGTTTAGGGTTTAGGGTTTAGGGTTAGGGTTGAGGGTTAAGGGTTAAGGGTTTAGGGTTTAGGGTTTAGGGTTTAGGGTTTAGGGCTTAGGGCTTAGGGCTTAGGGCTTAGGGCCGAGTGGGAATTTAGGGTTTAGGGTGTAGGGTTTAGGGTTTAGGGAAACCCCATACACCCCAAATCCACACACGAGTGAGGCCCGCGCCTTCCAATGTCAAGTGGATCCGCGAGCTCCAGCAGAAGTGCGCCATAAACTCTGAAAAAGCATAGGCTTGTATAACAACACATGGGAGTTTACAAAATAGGGTTTAGGGTTTAGGGTTCACACAAAAGGGGGTTGACGAAAATAGGGACAAGGAGGTACTAACAGGGAATCCTGTGTATAACAACACATGGGAGTTTACAAGAATAGGGTTTAGGGTTTAGGGTTCACACAAAAGGGGGTTGACGAAAATAGGGACAAGGAGGTACTAAAAGCGAATCCTACTATTTGGGGGTCTATATTGGGGTCCCCTATTTTGTCGCAACCCCCATATAGCATATAAATAAACATATATATATATGTATCTATATCTATATCTATATATGTAGAATATGTTTCTAAGTACAATATTGCACTACTATGTTAAATTGTATTCATATTATTAGAATGTACCAATATCAGACAACACAATCGTATAAAAAAAACACTATCGTTTTGCAACAGTAGTAATAATATGACGGTGTGATAACACAAGATTACAATAATCCAGCAATGCAATAAAGCAGCCAAACAAGCTTGGGCTTTTCGTAGGGTTTGCTATGGGGTGAATGCCCTGTAAAACCCAATCTTGAAGGTAGTAAGGGACCATATTTAGGGACCATATATGATCCCCCAAACCGCCCCCCGCCCCCCGCATCTTGCCTCGGATCCCTACGCCCACGTGTGGGTGTGGTTGGGGCCTACCTCGTGCCCCCTCCCTGTGGTAGGGGTGTGGTTGGGGGTTAGGGTCTACTGTTTAAGGTTTAGGGTTTAGGTTTCGGGGTTTAGGGTCGAAGGTTTAGGCCCGTGGTGTGATTGGGGGGCGGGTTGGGGTTAGGATTTGGGGGGGTTGAAGGTTTTAAGAGACCGGCCGCCCATGCTACCCCTGACCCCCCCCCCCCCGCGCCTCCCCTGTGGTTGTGTGGGCGTGGTTTGGGGGTTAGGGTTTAGGGTTTACACAAGTATTGTGTTTAAGGTTTAGCCCCCCGTGCCTGGGTCCGGAAGCCCGAGACCATATAACTACATGGTGTGTGGGTTTATGGGCTTTTGCTGGACAAGAGAGCATTTGACGCAAATGTTTCCCCCAACAGCCCTAAACCCTAAACCCTAAACCCTAAAAACTAAACCCTAAACCCTAAACCCCTTGTGCAAGGTCTTGGGAGCGGGAGCCGTTTACAAGGACCCCGTGCCCAACTCCTTACTTAGGGGCCCAAATCACCCACGTAAACACAAGGATCCTACTGTTGGGGTATAAGGGTTTAGGGTTTAGGGTCTAGGGTAAGGGGGATTTCGAAAAGTACTTGGAGGGAGGTTCAGGGTACTTAGTAACCCACTATAAGTGTAGTTATGCCCACATATAAGGTCCTTAGGTACCCGAACAGGATTATGATTGGGTCTTAAGTACAGTTATCATTGGGTTACTACCCCTAAACCCCTAAACCCCAAACCCCAAACCCCAAACCCCAAACCCTAAACCCGAAACCCTAAACCCTAAACCCTAAACCCTAAACTTAGGAGTTTTCAGAAAGCCCGGTGGAGAGTCCCCCCCCGGAACTGGGTAGAAATATTCTTAAATAGTTTGGCTTGGGGTTACAATTCTTCCAACAAATTGTTCAATTCTTGCGGCAATTGCGGCAATTGTTTCTTATATTGTTCAATTGTTGCGACAATTGTTTCTGAATATTGTTCAATTCTTGCGAACATTGTTTCTTAAAATGTTCTGTTGTTGCAGCAATTGTTTCTTACTTTGCAACAGTTGTTCTGGGCTTGTTCATTCTTTGCGACAATGGTTGGTTTAGCATTGAGTCATTGAGGCATTGAGTTCAGGACAATGATAAAATGAACTAAGAACGCCTAAGTTTAATATTCAATTCTCAACTCTGCTCACTTACGCCGCGCCGCAGCAGGATTCCGCATTCTTTGACAGTTGTTGTCATGAGGTCATTAGGGTCAGGGTAGTCTGACGCTCAGCCCCGTGTAATTGCCTTACGTGAGCGTAGCGTTAAGTCATTTCGGTCCCTAAGCACTTGGCCCGGCACTTGCCACGTGGCCATGTGGCGTTTGCCATGGATCTGCAAGCTTTAGCTGGCGTTGCGCGGCAGCAGCAACAGGCTGCGGCCCCCAGGGCGGGTGGACTGCGTGCCCGGCGCAGGGCCTTGCGCCGGGTGGAGGCCAGGGAGCGGCGGGCGAGTTCTGCGCAGGCGTCCTTTCGTCTGCAAGCGCAGCAGACAAACAGATCCGGCAGGGGACGAACCGAAGATCATATACTCCCTGTCAGCAGCGGCGCCAAGCGCTCTGCAGTAAAGGGCAAAGGAGCGTGGAAGCGATGGACTCCGGACGCAATTCTGCGGGGAGGCTTCTCGCCGGGTAGCATGAGCTCGCGCAGCGCTGCAGGTCAAATGGAAGGGGCAAGCGCCTCAGGCGTGATGAGCGCTAGACTCCTCGTGGCTGAGTGCATTGAGCAGGGCCAGAAAGACTACGCTTCTAAGCTTCAGCGGCAGCTACATCACGATGGCGACGGTCCTCTTGATTTTGCAGTGCTGAATATGATGTTCGATGAGACAGAGTTGGAATTAGACATGGGCAGTGAGGGGGAAGCTGCCTGGTCTGTCCTCGCAAGCCATTCTCAGATCACTTTTTGCAGTCAAGGGCAAGTCGTTGACTTTGATGCTGTTCGCGCCCCTTGCGTTTTGCCAACGAAAAAGGCAGCTACCATGTGGCCTGTGCTAGGTGCTGGAGTTGGCGGCCTTTGGCCGGGCGTGACCTCAGTTGACGCAGAGATGCGTGCTGTCCTGATCACGTGCGACGCAGGCCCAGCAAACATCAAGTTACTAAAGAACCTGTGCGCATGCCTGCCAGATTCAGTTGGCTTGATTCCCACGCTTTGCGCGCAACATCGCAATGGCAACGTGATCGAGCGCGCCACGAAGTTGTTGGGCATCTTGCCGGGTTGCTTTGCAGTATCGAAAACCATGATTCAAGGGTCGTGGATGCGAACCATTGGCAAGCGTGTCCAGGAAGTTTTAGCTGCCAGGCTCATCGTCATGGAAGAAGACCCCGAAGGTTTGCAGGAGGAGTGGGCTCGTTCCCGGGTAGCGGCCAGGGCTTTGCTAGATTTAGTGATCTTGAATGCTCCGCAAGGCGAGGACGACCAGCCAGCCCGCGGCTTCGCGACGGCGGTGAGCGACTTCATGACCTTCTTCCCTGGTCCATGGAAAGGACCGCCGGTTTGCTCATGCGCGGGGGATGTTTTGGCAGGGTAGGGTGGGGTTTGCCTTTCAGAGCAAAGGTTGCACTTGTACCAGGGTGGTTTTAATTGCGTAGGCCTGGCGTTGAGTTGAACTGCGTTTGAGCGTCAGGAAGGGTTTGCTCGGCGTTCTTGTTTGTCCCTAGACTCTAGACTCTAGACTCTAGACTCTAGACTCTAGACTC